CTGCCCCGGGGACCCCCAAAACCCCTAAAACTGGGACCCCCCAAATCCCACCTGGAAGGCCAGGTCGTGGTACTGCTGCTTCTCCCGGGGTCCCAGGGCGTACCACCACTCGCCCAGGATCTTGCTGACCGTGCGGTTGTCCTGGTTCGGGTGCCGCTGGTGCACCAGCGCCCGGTGCCGCTTGCTGAAGATCATGAAGGCGTTCATGGGCCGGCGGATGTGGTCCTTCTCCCGCTGCGGACACGCCCACAAAGGGGCGGGGTCAGCGGGGGCACGCCCACAAAGGGGCGGGGTCAGGGGATACAACTGCAAAGGGGTGGGGTCCGTGGGATGGGTGGGGTCAATGGAGGATGGACACGGGTGGATAGTGCCCTTCTGCTGTGGACACGCCCACAAAGGGGCGGGGACAGCGGGGACACGCCCACAAAGGGGAGGAGTCAGGGGTTACGACTACAAAGGGGCGGGGTCCGTGGGATGGGTGGGATCAGTGGATGATGGCTGTAGGTGGGTGTGGTCAATGGTTAGATAAGGTGATTCTCCCTCTGCAGACACGCCCACAAAGGGGAGGAGTCAGGGGTTACGACTACAAAGGGGCGGGGTCCGTGGGATGGGTGGGGTCAATGGAGGATGGACACGGGTGGATAGTGCCCTTCTGCTGTGGACCCGCCCACAAAGGGGCGGGGTCAGGGGATACAACTGCAAAGGGGTGGGGTCCGTGGGATGGGTGGGATCAGTGGATGATGGCTGTAGGTGGGTGTGGTCAATGGTTAGATAAGGTGATTCTCCCTCTGCAGACACGCCCACAAAGGGGCGGGGTCAGAGGGGACACGCCCACAAAGGGGAGGAGTCAGGGGTTACAATTACAAAGGGGTGGGGTCCGTGGGATGGGTGGGGTCAGTGGATGATGGCTGTAGATGGGTGTGGTCAGTGGTAGGGTAGGGTCCCTGTCCCTCTGTGGACACGCCCACAAAGGGGCAGGGTCAGCGGGGGCACGCCCACAAAGGGGCGGGGTCAGGGGTTACGACTGCAAAGGGGTGGGGTCCGTGGGATGGGTGGGGTCAATGGAGGATGATCATAAGTGGGTGTGGTCAACGGGTAGATAAGGTCATTCTCCCTCTGTAGACACGCCCACAAGGGGGTGGGGTCATCGGGGACACGCCCACAAAGGGGAGGAGTCAGGGGTTACAACTACAAAGGGGTGGAGCCCATAGAATGGGTGGGGTCAATGGAGGATGGTCGTAAGTGGGTGTGGTCAATGCTTAGAGAGGGTAGTGGTAGGGTAGGGTCCCTGTCCCTCTGTGGACACGCCCACAAAGGGGCAGGGTCAGCGGGGGCACGCCCACAAAGGGGCGGGGTCAGGGGTTACGACTGCAAAGGGGTGGGGTCCGTGGGATGGGTGGGGTCAATGGAGGATGATCATAAGTGGGTGTGGTCAACGGGTAGATAAGGTCATTCTCCCTCTGTGGACACGCCCACAAGGGGGCGGGGTCAGCGGGCACACACCCACAAAGGGGAGGAGTCAGGGGTTACAACTACAAAGGGGTGGAGCCCATAGAATGGGTGGGGTCAATGGAGGATGGTCGTAAGTGGGTGTGGTCAATGGTTAGAGAGGGTGCTTCTCCTGCTGTGGACACGCCCACAAAGGGGCGGGGTCAGCCTGGGCACGCCCACAAAGGGGCGGGGTCAAGGGTCACAACCATAAGGAAGTGGGGCCAATGAGATGCGGCCATGGGTGGGTGGGGTTAGCAGAGTATGGTAATGAGTGGGTGTGGCCAGTGGGTAGATATGGTAATTCTCCTGCTGTGGACACGCCCACAAAGGGGCGGGGTCAGCTGGACACACCCACAGGTGGGGCACACCCACAAAGGGGAGGAGCCATGGCCACACCCATAAGGAGTAAAGGGCTGCCCATATAAGGGTAAAGGGGCGGGGTTAAACATTGAGTGACAAGCACATCAAGGGGTGGGGCCACATTTAGCCACGCCCCCTGCGTGGTACAGAGCACTCAGATGAAAATGCTAATTAATTAATTAATTAGGCTTAATTACACAAACCTGGGGGTGGAGCCAGCAGGGGCATGGACACGCCCTGGTGGGCGGGGCTAAGGGGGAGACCCCGCCCCTGGAGGATTTTTGGGGGATTTCAGGTGGAATTTTGGGGCAATTTTGGGGAAATTTCAGGGGGATTTTGGGGTGATTTCAGCAGCAATTTCGGGGGAATTTTGGGGTGATTTTGGGGTGGTTTTGGGGTGATTTTAGAGAGAATTTTGGGGTGGTTTTGGGGTGGTTTTGGGGTGGTTTCAGGAGGAATTTCAAGGGAATTCCGGGGTGATTTTGGGAGTGATTTCAGGAGGAATTTTTGGGGGATTTCAGGAGGAATTTCGGGGTGATTTCGGGGTGATTTTGTGGGGATTTTGGGGTGATTTCAGGAGGAATTTTTTTGGGTGATTTCAGGAGGAATTTTGGGGTGATTTCAGGCTGATTTCGGGGTGATTTTGGGGTGATTTCAGGAGGAGGTTTTGGGTGATTTCAGGCTGATTTCAGGCTGATTTCGGGGTGATTTCAGGAGGAATTTTGGGGTGATTTTGGGGGGATTTCGGGCTGATTCTGGGGTGATATCAGGAGGAATTTTGGGGTGATTTCAGGCTGATTTCGGGGTGATTTCGGGGTGATTTCAGGCTGATTTCAGGCTGATTTCGGGCTGATTTCAGGCTGATTTCGGGCTGATTTCGGGCTGATTTCAGGCTGATTTTGTGGTGATTTTGTGGTGATTTTGTGGTGATTTTGTGGTGATTTCAGGCTGATTTCGGGCTGATTTCAGGCCGATTTCGGGGTGATTTCAGGGTGATTTCGGGCTGATCTCAGGGCGATTTCGGGCTGATTTCAGGCTGATCTCAGGCCGATTTCAGGGTGATTTCGGGCTGATTTCAGGCTTATTTCAGGCTGATTTCGGGGTGATTTCAGGCTGATTTCAAGCTGATTTCAGGCTGATTTCGGGGTGATTTCAGGCTGAATTTTGGGGTGATTTTGGGGTGATTTCAGGCTGATTCTGGGGTGATATCAGGAGGAATTTTGGGGTGATTTCGGGGTGATTTTGTGGGGATTTTGGGGTGATTTCAGGAGGAATTTTTTTGGGTGATTTCAGGAGGAATTTTGGGGTGATTTCGGGGTGATTTTGTGGGGATTTTGGGGTGATTTCAGGAGGAATTTTTTTGGGTGATTTCAGGAGGAATTTTGGGGTGATTTCAGGCTGATTTCGGGGTGATTTTGGGGTGATTTCAGGAGGAGGTTTTGGGTGATTTCAGGCTGATTTCAGGCTGATTTCGGGGTGATTTCAGGAGGAATTTTGGGGTGATTTTGGGGTGATTTCAGGCTGATTCTGGGGTGATATCAGGAGGAATTTTGGGGTGATTTCAGGCTGATTTCGGGGTGATTTCGGGGTGATTTGATTTCGGGCTGATCTCAGGCCGATTTCGGGCTGATTTCGGGCTGATCTCAGGCCGATTTCAGGGTGATTTCGGGCTGATTTCAGGCTTATTTCAGGCTGATTTCGGGGTGATTTCAGGCTGATTTCAAGCTGATTTCAGGCTGATTTCGGGGTGATTTCAGGCTGGTTTCAGGCTGATTTCGGGGTGATTTTGTGGTGATTTCAGGCTGATTTCGGGGTGATTTTGTGGTGATTTTGTGGTGATTTCAGGCTGATTTCGGGGTGATTTTGTGGTGATTTTGTGGTGATTTCAGGCTGATTTCAGGCTGATTTCAGGCTGATTTCAGCCTGATTTCAGGGTGATTTCGGGATGATTTCAGGCTGATTTCAGGCTGATTTCAGGCTGATTTCGGGCTGATTTCAGGCTGATTTCGGGCTGATTTCGGGCTGATTTCAGGCTGATTTTGTGGTGATTTTGTGGTGATTTTGTGGTGATTTCGGGGTGATTTCGGGGTGATTTCAGGCTGATTTCAGGCCGATTTCAGGGTGATTTCGGGCTGATTGATTTCGGGGTGATTTCAGGCTGATTTCAAGCTGATTTCAGGCTGATTTCGGGCTGATTTCAGGCTGATTTCAGCCTGATTTCAGGGTGATTTCGGGATGATTTCAAGCTGATTTCAGGCTGATTTCGGGCTGATTTCAGGCTGATTTCAGCCTGATTTCAGGGTGATTTCGGGATGATTTCAAGCTGATTTCAGGCTGATTTCGGGCTGATTTCAGGCTGATTTCAGGCTGATTTCAAGCTGATTTCAGGCTGATTTCGGGGTGACTCCAGGGCACCTGGGCTCACCTTGCTGGGGCTGCGCCCGTCCTTGTCGCCCTCCTTGGGCAGCGCGCTCAGCGACTGCGTGCGGCGCTTGCCGGGACCCAGCGGCAGCGGCAGCTCCGGGGCCACCAGCGACGACAGGAACCTGCCCGGACACGGGGGGGACATGTGGGGACACGGGGGGACACGTGTGGGGACAGGGACACACAGGGACAGAGAGAGACAGGAACCTGCCGGGACACGGGGGGACACGTGTGGGGACACGTGGGGACAGGGACAGGAACCTGCGGGGACACAGGGGGACACGTGTGGGGACAGGGACAGGGACAGGGACAGGAACCTGCTGGGACACGGTGGGGGACAGGGACACGTGTGGGGACACGGGGACTCGGGGGGGTCGCACAAGGGTCCCAGGAGTCACAGAGGGGTGGGGCGTGTCTCAGATGGGGGAGGGGCACTGGGAGTATCCCGGTGGGGGAGGGGCAGGGGGCGTGTCCCAGGTGCATCCCAGGCAAGCCCCAGGTGTGTCCCAGGCGTGCCAGGGCGTGTCCCAGATATCCCAGCTGTCCCAGGCGTGTCCCAGGTGTGTCAGGGCGTGTCCCAGGTGTATCCCAGGCGTGTCCCAGGTGTGTCCCAGATATCCCAGCTGTCCCAAGTGTCCCATGTGTGACCCAGGTGTGTCCCAAGCGTGTCCCAGGTATATCCCAGCTCCATCCCAGCTGTCCCAGGTGTGTCAGGGAGTGTCCCAGGTGTGTCAGGGTGTGTCCTGGGTGTGTCAGGGACTGTCCCAGGTGTGCCAGGGAGTGTCCCAGGCGTGTCCCAGGTGTGTCAGGGAGTGTCCCGGGCGTGTCCCATGTATATCCCAGCTCCATCCCAGCTGTCCCAGGTGTGTCAGGGAGTGTCCCAGGTGTGTCAGGGTGTGTCAGGGCGTGTCCCGGGTGTGTCCCACGTGTATCCCAGATGCATCCCAGATATCCCAGGTGTGTCCCAGGCATGTCCCGGGTGTGTCAGGGCGTGTCCCGGGCGTGTCCGGGCGGGGCTCACCTTTGCCGGGCGCGGCCACGGGCAGGTGCGTGGCGGGCTGCAGGCCGGCCGGGGGGTGCGGGGGCGCGTCGGGCTGGCTCGGGGCCAGGAACGGCACCAGGGAGTGCCAGGGGAACACGGGCACCGAGCACGGCTCCACGTTGGTCCTCACTGGGGAGGGGACAGTGACGCTGAGGGTGTGACAGTGACACCCTGTGACAGTGCCAGGGGAACACGGGCACCGAGCACGGCTCCACGTTGGTCCTCACTGGGGAGGGGACAGTGACGCTGAGGGTGTGACAGTGACACCCTGTGACAGTGCCAGGGGAACACGGGCACCGAGCACGGCTCCACGTTGGTCCTCACTGGGGAGGGGACAGTGACGCTGAGGGTGTGACAGTGACACCCTGTGACAGTGCCAGGGGAACACGGGCACCGAGCACGGCTCCACGTTGGTCCTCACTGGGGAGGGGACAGTGACGCTGAGGGTGTGACAGTGACACCCTGTGACAGTGCCAGGGGAACACGGGCACCGAGCACGGCTCCACGTTGGTCCTCACTGGGGAGGGGACAGTGACGCTGAGGGTGTGACAGTGACACCCTGTGACAGTGCCAGGGGAACACGGGCACCGAGCACGGCTCCACGTTGGTCCTCACTGGGGAGGGGACAGTGACGCTGAGGGTGTGACAGTGACACCCTGTGACAGTGCCAGGGGAACACGGGCACCGAGCACGGCTCCACGTTGGTCCTCACTGGGGAGGGGACAGTGACGCTGAGGGTGTGACAGTGACACCCTGTGACAGTGCCAGGGGAACACGGGCACCGAGCACGGCTCCACGTTGGTCCTCACTGGGGAGGGGACAGTGACGCTGAGGGTGTGACAGTGACACCCTGTGACAGTGCCAGGGGAACACGGGCACCGAGCACGGCTCCACGTTGGTCCTCACTGGGGAGGGGACAGTGACGCTGAGGGTGTGACAGTGACACCCTGTGACAGTGCCAGGGGAACACGGGCACCGAGCGCGGCTCCCGTTGGTCCACACTGGGGAGGGGACAGTGACACTGAGGGTGTGACAGTGACACCCTGTGACAGTGACAGGGGAACACGGGCACCGAGCACGGCTCCACGTTGGTCCACACTGGGGACACAGGGACACGGTCTGACAGTGAGGGTGTGACACTGACAGGGTGTGACACTGAGGGTGTGACAGTGACAGCCTGTGACAGTGACAGGGGACAGACACAGACAGCCCCTGACACCCTGTGACAGTGACAGCCTGTGACACTGACAGGGTGTGACACTGAGGGTGTGACACTGACAGGGTGTGACACTGAGGGGTGTGACACTGATGGATGTGACACTGACCGGTGTGACACTGAGGGGTGACACTGACAGGGTGTGACACTGACAGGCTGTGACACTGACAGGGTGTGACACTGACAGGGTGTGACACTGAGGGTGTGACACTGACAGGGTGTGACACTGACAGGGTGTGACACTGAGGGGTGACACTGATAGGGTGTAACACTGAGGGGGGTGACCCTGACAGGGTGTGACACTGAGGGTGTGACACTGAGGGTGTGACACTGACAGGGTGTGACACTGACAGGGTGTGACACTGAGGGTGTGACACTGACAGGGTGTGACACTGAGGGTGTGACACTGACAAGGGGGTGACACTGGGGGTGTGACACTGACAGGGTGTGACACTGAGGGTGTGACACTGGGGGTGTGACACTGACAGGGTGTGACACTGAGGGTGTGACACTGAGGGTGTGACACTGAGGGTGTGACACTGACAAAGGGGTGACACCCACAAGGCTCAGGTGACATCAACGGTGTCCCCACAGGTGTGGCACCTCAGAACCCCCAAAATGACCTCAAAAACCCCAAAATCACCTCAAAATCACCCCAAAATCAACTCAGACACCCCAAAATCACTTCAAAATCCCAAAATCACCTCTGAACCCCCCAAAATTACCTCAAAAACCCCAAAATCACCTCAGACACCCCAAAATCACTTCAAATTCCCAAAATCACCTCTGAACCCCCCAAAATTACCTCAAAAACCCCAAAATTACCTCAGAACTCCCCAAAATCACCTCAAAAAACCCCTAAATCACCTCAGAACCCCCCAAAACCACCTCAAAATCCCAAAATCACCTCAGAACCCTCCAAAATTACCTCAAAATCCCAAAATCACCTCAAAGATCCGCCCAAAATTACCCCAGAACCCCCAAATTACCTCAGAACCCCAAAATTACCTTTAAAAGCCCCCAAAAATGCCTCAGAACCTCTAAAATTACTTCAAGACCACCAAAATTACTTCAAAGACCCCCCCAGAATTACTTCAGATTGCTCAAAATTACTCAGACATCCCAAAATTGCCTCAGAACCCCCAAATTCCCTCGTGAAGACCCCAAATCCTCTCACAGAAATCACAAATTTAGCTCAAAACCTCCAAATCCTCTTCAAAACCCCAATATTTCCTCACAAAATCTCCAAAGTCGCCTCGGGACCCTGAAATTGCCTCACAAAGTTCAAATTTTCCTCACAAAATCCCAAAATCGCCTCACAAAACCCAAAATTTCCTCACAAAATCTCAAAAAGTGTGTAAAAACCATAAAATCGCCTCACAAAACCCAAAACTTCCACACAAATGACCCAAAATTCACCTCAGAAACCCGAAGTTGCTTCACAAACACCAAGATTTCCTCACAAAACCCTAAAAATCGCCTCAGAAACCCAAAAGTGCCTCACAAACACCAAAATTTCCTCACAAATCACCCAAAATTCACCTCAGAAACCAAAAAATCGCCTCACAAACACCAAAATTTCCTCATAAATCACCCAAAATTCACCTCAGAACCCCCAAATCCTCTCACAATGACCCCAAAATCGCCTCGGATCCCCCAAATCTGCTCACAAACGCTGAGATTTCCTCACAAAATCTCAAAATTGCATCAAAACCATAAAATCTCCTCACAAACCCCAAGATTTCTACACAAATCACCCAAAATTCACCTCAGAACCCAGAAATCTCCTCACAAACACCAAAATTTCCTCACAAATCACCCAAAATTCACCTCAGAAACCCAAAATCGCCTCACAAACACCAAAATTTCCTCACAGATCACCCAAAATTCACATCAGAACCCCAAAATCACCTCACAAACACCAAAATTTCCTCACAAATCACCCAAAAATCACATCAGAACCAAAATCTCCAAAGTTGCCTCGGGACCCTGAAATTGCCTCACAAAGTTCAAATTTTCCTCACAAAATCCCAAAATCGCCTCACAAAACCCAAAATTTCCTCACAAAATCTCAAAAAGTGTGTAAAAACCATAAAATCGCCTCACAAAACCCAAAACTTCCACACAAATGACCCAAAATTCACCTCAGAAACCCGAAGTTGCTTCACAAACACCAAGATTTCCTCACAAAACCCTAAAAATCGCCTCAGAAACCCAAAAGTGCCTCACAAACACCAAAATTTCCTCACAAATCACCCAAAATTCACCTCAGAAACCAAAAAATCGCCTCACAAACACCAAAATTTCCTCATAAATCACCCAAAATTCACCTCAGAACCCCCAAATCCTCTCACAATGACCCCAAAATCGCCTCGGATCCCCCAAATCTGCTCACAAACGCTGAGATTTCCTCACAAAATCTCAAAATTGCATCAAAACCATAAAATCTCCTCACAAACCCCAAGATTTCTACACAAATCACCCAAAATTCACCTCAGAACCCAGAAATCTCCTCACAAACACCAAAATTTCCTCACAAATCACCCAAAATTCACCTCAGAACCCAGAAATCTCCTCACAAACACCAAAATTTCTACACAAATCACCCAAAATTCACCTCAGAACCCAGAAATCTCCTCACAAACACCAAAATTTCCTCACAAATCACCCAAAATTCACCTCAGAAACCCAAAATCGCCTCACAAACACCAAAATTTCCTCACAGATCACCCAAAATTCACATCAGAACCCCAAAACCACCTCACAATGAGCCAAAATCTCCTCACGAACCCCGAGATTTCCTCACAAAATCTCTAAACTTTCATCAAAACCATAAAATCGCTTCACAAACGCCAAAATTTCCTCACAAAACACCCAAAATCACCTCAGAATCCCAAAATCTCCACACAAACCCCAACATTTCCTCACAAATCACCCAAAAACCCCCAAAATCCCCTCAGAAACTCCCTCGCAAACGCCAAATTCTCACAAATCCCAAAATTCCCTCAAACACCCCCCAAAATCACCGAATCCCCCCACGGAGACCCCAAAATCAGCTCAGATCACCCCAAAATCCCCTCGCAGAGGCGCTCACTCCCTCAGAAAATGCCCCAAAATCGCATCAGAGACCCCAAATCCCCTCAGGGACCCCAAAATCTCCTCACGGACCCCAAATCCCCTCAAAAACCCCAAATTCCCCTCACAGACCCCAAATTCCCTCACGGATCCCAAACCCCCTCACGGATCCCAAATCCTCCTCACAGATCCCAGATTCCCTAAAAAAAACCCAAATCCCCCTCACGGACCCCCAAAATCCCCTCAGAGACCCCAAATTCCCCTCACGGACCCCAAAATCCCCTCAGAGACCCCAAATTCCCCTCACGGACCCCCAAAATCCCCTCGAGACCCCAAATTCCCCTCACGGACCCCAAAATCCCCTCAGAGACCCCAAATTCCCCTCACGGACCCCCAAAATCCCCTCAGAGACCCCAAATTCCCCTCAGAGACCCCAAAATCAGCTCAGATCCCCCCAAAATCCCCTCAAAGAGGCGCTCATTCCCTCAGAAAATGCCCCAAAATCGCATCAGAGACCCCAAATCCCCTCAGGGACCCCAAAATCTCCTCACGGACCCCAAATTCCCCTCACAGACCCCAAATTCCCCTCACAGACCCCAAATTCCCTCACGGACCCCAAATCCCCTCACGGATCCCAAATCCTCCTCACAGATCCCAGATTCCCTAAAAAAGGCCTCGGGGCGACGGCGCCCGCGCGCGTATGCAAATGAGAGGGGGCTTCCCGCCCCCGCGCCGCGCGCCCATTGGGCGGCCGCCGCGCGTATGCAAATGAGAGGGCGCCCCCCAACCCGCCCCCGCCCTCCTGCGCGCGCAGCGGCAGCGGAGGCCACGCCCACTCCTCCCCCCCGGCGGGGAGGCCACGCCCACCCAGCTGATGGACGGGGGGGGCCGTGACGTCACGGAGAGGCGGAGTGACGTCACGGCGGCGCGGAAGGGGCGCGGGAGAGCCCCGCGCGCCCGCTCTGACGTCAGCGTGACGTCAGAAGGGCTCGGTAACAGCATCTCAGCACGGCCCTGGCCCCGATGTGACGTCACCGTGACGTCACAACCGTGATTTAACTCCCCGGACCTGCTCCGACACAGCTGTGACGTCACAGTGACGTCACCACGACGCAACAACCTGCTGTGACAGCTCCGTCCCCGCCGTGACGTCACCGTGACGTCACCACGACGCACCAACCCCGCCGTGACCTCACCGTGACCCCTGACCCCATCCCCCACCCCGAAATTCCACAAAATTCATCAAAAACCCCCCAAATGCCCCAAAACTCGCACGGATCCCCCCAAACCACCCCAAAATTTTAAAAAAAAAACCCTAAATCCCCTCAAATCCCCCCAAAACTCCTCAAAAACTCCTCCAAAACTCCTCAAATTCTCTCAGACCCCCCCAAACTCCCCCAAAATCTCCTCAAAACCCCCCAAAAATCCCAAATTCCCCCCAAAACCTCCCCAAACCTCCTCAGAAATTTCCAAATCTCATCAAATCCCCCCCACATTTTCCAAACCCCCCCCAAATTACCCCA